CAATCCTTATCAAAACACCACCAGCATTTTTCACAGAGCTAGAACAAAAACAATCCTAAAATTTGCGTGGAATAACCAAAGCAACCTTAAAAAAAAGCAAAGCTGGAGGTATCACAATTCCAGGCTTCTATTTATATTACAAAGCTGTAATAATCAAAATAGTATGTTACTGGCACAAAAATAGATACACAGATCAATGGAATAGAACAGAAAATCCAGAAGTACACCCCCCACAATTCTATGGACCATTAATTTTTGACAAGGCAAGAAAGAATATCCAATGAGAAAAAGACCCAGTCTCTTCAAACGGTGTTGAGAAAACTGGGCAGCAACATGCAAATATAACATAGATGAAGATAAGATGAATTAACATGCAAATATACCATAGATGAAGATAAGATGAATTAAAGATCTGATGTGAGACCTGAAAACATAAAAATCCTGGAAGAGAGCACAGGCAAAAACTTCTCTGACATCAGCCTTAGCCAACTTTTCTCTAGATACGTCCCCTGAGGCAAGGGAAGAAAAAGCAAAAATAAAACTATTGGAACTATATGAAAATAAAAAGCTTTTGCACAGCAAAGGAAACAGTCAATGAACCAAAAGGCAGCCTATAGAGTGGGAGAAGATTCTTGCAAATGACATGGCTGATAAAGGGTTAGTATCTAAAACATAGAAAGAACTTATAAAACTCAAAAACCCAAAATTTTTCAGTTTAAAAATGGGCAGGAAACATGAACAGACACTCTCTAAAGAAGGCAGTCAGATGTCCACCAGACACATGAAAAGATGCTCATCATCACTGACCATCAGGGAAATACAAATCAAAGCTGCAGTGAGATACTACCTCACATCTGTTGGAATGTCTATAATCAAAAACACAAGAAACAACAGATGTTGGTGAGGATGTGGGAAGAAAGGAACCCTCTTGCAGTGTTGCTGGGAATGCAAACTTGGTGCGGCCCCTGTGGAAAACAGTATGGAGTTTTCTCAAAAAGTTAAAAATAGAACTACCCTATGATCCAGTAATCACATTGGTAGGTATTTCGCCAAAGAATGCAAAAACACTAATTCAAAGGGATGCATGCACCCTGTGTTTATAGCAGCATTAGCTCTAGTAGTTAAGATGTGGAAGCAGCCCTAGTGTCCAGGGATGGGTGAATAGATAGAGAAGACATATCCTATAGATTCAATGGAATATTATTTAGCCATAAAAAAGGAAATCTTGCCATTTGCAACAACATTGATGGAGCTAGACAGTATTAGGCTCAGTGCAATAAAGCAGTCAGTTAAAGACAAATACCATATGATTTCACTCATATGTGGAATTTAAGCAAAGGGGAAAAAAAGAGAGAACAAACATGGTTATCAGAGGGGAGGTGGGAAGGGAATGGGTAAAATGGGTGATAGAAATTAAAGCATGCACTTACTATGGTGAGCACCAGGTGATTAAAATAAAAACATTTTTTAAAAAGTGACATTTCTCTTGGGTTGTTTCAAAAGAAATAGCTGTTACATAATGAAGTAACAGAATACTAAGAGACAGTCACATGAAAGAGAAAATGAATATTGAAAGTATAAGTTAGTATAAGCCACTCTATCAATTTTCTAATAAAATTAAGGACTTGTCTGGCTTCACTTTTTTATCTGTATCCTTCAGAACTGTTTGATTTTAAAAATTATTTTAGGCAGTTTTAAACTATTTCATCTCTCTCCTAAAGCAGTAATACTATACTATACTTATCAAGGTAGCTCTCCCACCACAATAGCAATTTTACAAATAAATTGCAAATTCCCTGAGAACAGAGGTTATGCCTTATGTTTCATTATTTTCCCCTTGTAATAGCTATCACACAGAATTATGCATAGAAAACAATGTAATCAGTATAGTACAGATCAGCAAGTGATTCTGATGATAGGAAACACTAACTCTGAACCCCAGCTAAAGGAAATGTTATTCCCACCAAAAATAATTCCATTCTCTTCATTAGTTAAAAAAAAAAAAAACTGTACTCCATTATGTTTTGAATTTCAATAAAAATTTATGAAAAATTTTTTAAAGAATTGTTTTAGGTAAAATTAAACTTTGACAAAATAATTTCTGGTTCACTTCCTTAAGAAATGTTGGTCTTCCTTTGAGTATACTCTGTGACCGTTGTTTAAAAATAGTGTTTGCCACTTATTTGCTCTGCTTAGCTTAAGCCTCCGCCTTCGGCTCAGATCATAATCCCAGAGACCTAGGATTGAGCCCCACATCGGGCTCCCTGCTCAGAGGAGAGCCTGCTTCTCCCTCTCCCTCTCCCTCTCCCTGCCGCTCCCCCTGCCTGTGCTCACTCTCTCTCTCTTTCCAATAAATAAACAAAATCTTAAAAACAAATTAACACAATTGCAAAAATATCTGAGCTCTTCATGATAAACAATCAACGTGTTTATTTGGGTCCAGATTTCACATTCTAAACATAATGTTCTGACAGACTGATTTTGCCAAGGCCAAGCTCACAGCTTTCTTATCTCACCACATATATTGCTTACAATTTGTCCATTAATTTTCCCGTTAACTGGCTTAACCTCACAGGTGGTTTTCCATGTTTAGAAAAAAAAAATCTTTTGGTTTAAAATTTTATTCACTTACCAGTGATTTATGGCATTGCCACTAGATCGTAAGCCAAAAAGAACAGGAATTTATGTGTTTTTCACTACCATTTTTTAAAAAAGATTTTTTAAAAAGAACATTTTAAGTGTTCTCCATCCCCAGCATGGGCTCAGAGTCACAACTCTGAGATCAAGAGTTGCATGTCTACGGACTGAGCCAGCCAGGTGCCCCCTTCCACTACCCTTCTTTCCAAAACCCCAAGCTATGCCTGAGACAAAACGAGTGATCCAAAATATGCATGGAATGATTGTTAGTTATCAAAGGCAGCTTTATTCTAGGTGCTGGGACACAATGGGAAGCAAAAACAAACACAATTTGGCCCTTAGGGAGTTTACATGAAGGAAATTTAACGGGGATCGATCATAAAAACAAATGTCAAATTGCGAATTTTATGACAGTGCTATGAAGCAGAGCGACCAGGTTCCATAAGGTATAGACTTAGAAGGATTGTCTCTCTTGGGAGACATGGAGGAAGAGAGCTCCTTGAAGAAGTGGCCAGAGTTGAGATCAGAGGATGATCACACAGTAATTAGAGGAAGAGGAGAGGACAGAGAGTTCCATTCTTTTTTAGTTTCTTCTCGGTGTTTTTCCTTCTCACTCAATGTCCACCTGCCATAATGGTATTTATCATTATAGACTCTCCCTCTTTTTCCTGCAACCTTAGTTTAATAGCTACTTGTGGACTTCTGCATAAACTCAAGTATATGTAGGTCTCCTTTTAGGTAACAACCAAACTTACTTTTCTGTGAAAATCGCCAGTAATCATTTTAGAAACTAAGGACAAAATATCAAAGAGAAAATGAATTAACAAGAAGAACACCTCTCTTCAACTTACTTTAACTGTTGTATGCTCGAGGAAATGCCATATGATAAATACTTAATAGATCTTGGTTGGTTAGTTGCTTGGCTGGCTGGCTGAATGGCTGGTTGACTGGTTAACTGGCTGGCCAGATGTTGGTTGGCTGCTCAGTGATTGGTAGATTCGCTGGCTAGCTTGTTAGATATTGGTTGGTTGGCTGGTTGGCCAAATGTCAGTTGAGTGCTGGCTGGCTGACTGGGTAGACATTGGTTGGTTGGGTGACTAGGGTGGTTTATTGAGTAATAAGAGTGGTGGTTTAGCTCTAGCTTTCAAGTCAGACTTAATTTTATTCAGATTCTGACTGACCATTCACTGATAACGATAAACAACTTACATAAGCTCTCTAAGTCTCTGTTCGTTCTATAAAATAGTATTTTTTTTTCCTCACAGGGTTGTTGTGAGAATAAAGGTGATATTGCATATGAAGTTTTAGCGTGGTACGTAGGATATGTTAACCATTCACTAGTATATGTTCACAATTTAAAAGAAAAGAAAGAAGCTTGAGTGTTGTTTCTGAAAGGAACCAAATTAGTGAAAGCAAGTGATGATTCCGTTTAAATGTTTGTCTCGTTTATCATAGCCTTCAAATGTTTCACGGCTGCCAACACGCATCTGTTACAGGGTCATAGTACACAAAGCTAAGAAGGAGCTGTTACATGTAGGAAACTCACAAGCACACGAGCAGATCTGGACAGATTAGAACTGAATTCACCACCCTCCACCTTCCCCTGCTTCCTGACTGGCCTATCATCGCATGACTGCAGGGCTCATCAGGATAGCAACTTTCTCTATCAAAAAAAATTTTTTTTAGGGAGTGCTAGTATATTAGTTGACATGAGTGACAGGGGTTACACAGGTGTTCACTTTATAATTATTTGCTAAGCTGAACATGTATGTTTTCTGTATCTTCCTTTAGGCACACCCACACTTAAACCTCACCAGAGGAGGTGACATTGGCATGCAAGAATGTGATGGACTAGGACCGTACAGATGAAATATATAAACCTATACCGGGTCTCTATAAGCAAAGGAAAGTCCTTAAATTGCAAATGGAAAGAAATACACACGCAGTAAATCCTGACTGTGAAAAAGAGGACATGAGGTTTATTCCAAGGGTCCAGATTGGCTATCTCCTGGTCACAGATGAAGTGGCTAGAGCAGCAAATTACTAAACTTGCGTGTGCCAGTCTGCGTAAATGTACCACGTGCTGGAGTCACTGTAGGGTGGGATTTTTCCACGCTCTTTGCCACTTGCTTAACATTGGGCATGAAGAGCTTCTCCGGATGACAGTGCTTAAAAGACCTCAGTCACTAGAGGTCTTGCACAGACGGCACTGCCCCATCTCTTCCAGCCATTGTCCTTAACATTCATGCCACGTGTGCGTGATTTCAGAGACAGCTGCCCTGGTTTAGTAAACGCCATCAGCAACAAAGTCAAAAATTACACATCTCTATTGCTAACAAGCGGCTTTTGGGTTTTTTTTTTAGCGCCGACTGGGAGATGCGGCAAAGAAAGCGATCAGCAAGCTCCAGGTCAGAACCATCAAGAAGGGTGATAAGGTAACAGCAGACTCTTTTCTTTTTGGTGAGGGACTAGTCAAAAAAGTCCCTGACTTTTCTGACAGCCAGGGTAGAAGAGATGGAAGGATGGGAAAAGGGGTATCCATGAAAATAGCTCTCCTGTGTCTGTAATTATACCCATCTTTATTAGATATAATTTAAAACAATTTATAAAATGCGTGCAGTAGGACAACAAAGCAGTTGGAAACAAAGTGTTAGAAAATGAAAAGTATAGGAAAAATAGATGAAGCTAGAATAAATTTTTTAGACAAATACATTACCTGAAATGTGTAACAAAAATGGATCCCAAACTTAGTTTGGGGCTTTCTAGCAGCCAATGCAAAGAAGGAAGAAATATTCAAACAATATCTAATTACCTTATTGCAGTGTCCACAAGGTGAAAATGAGATGGTTATTCCTGGTATTACAATTTGAGAAAAAATTTCCATAAATCCTTGCAAGGAGGAAAGTGTTATATGCTGAGTGATGTCCTCCACTGATATCTGCAGTAAATACAGAAAGCATATTCAGTCCCTCTGAAATCTAGCATCCACAACCCCACAGTCATTACAGCAGACTCCCTTGCTGTAGAATGAGGACATAAAGCCAAGAGCCTATCTTTTTTTAATTCTGGTATAATTAACATATGGTGTTATATTAGTTTCAGGTCTACAACATAATGACTCAACCATTCTATACATTTCTCAGTGCTCATCAAGATAGGTGTATTCCTAATCTCCTTTATATATTTCGCCCACCTCCCCACCCATTTCCCCTCTGACAATCACCAGCTGTCTGTAATTAAGAGTCTGAGTTTTTTGTTTGTTTCCTTTTTTTCCCCTGTGTTCATTGGTTTTGTTTCTGAAATTCCACATATGAGTGAAATCAGATGGTAATTGTCTTTCTCTGACTGGCTTATTTCACTTAGCATTATACCTTCTAGATCTATCTATGCAATTGCAAATGTCAAGGTTTCATTCTCTTTTTTATGGCTGAGTAATATTCCATCGTATATATATCATATATATGATATATATATATTATAGTTTCTGTGTGTGTGTATATAATTCCATTAAATGTATATATATCTTCCTTATCCATTCCTCTGTCAGTGGACACATAGGCTGTTTCCATATCTCAGCTTTTGTAAACAATGATGCTCTAACCATATCAGAAGCAGAAGTGTATCTTGAGAAGGAACAAGGAAACAGTGCAATCCAAGGCCTGCAGACCTCTAAAGGTCTTTCTTCTCCCCAGAATAAATTTTAGAGCAGTGGATTGTGGTACATGTATTTGGGGCTCATTGGAACATTTGTAAGGGAGTCACAAGTCTGCATGTATAACCAGGTGCCATCTCTAGTCTGAATACTTGATTTATCTCACTATGCGCTGCTATTTTTCAACTATATAAAAAATACTATTGAGCTTCCTAAGATGAAATTCATTTAAAAGCATTACTAAATTTAAAGTATATTTTGCATTACTTTTTTCCCCTCAACAGAATATGAAATGGGGTATTGAAAGAGAGATGTATATACTCAAATAAAGAGAGATGTAAATACTTGAATAAAAAGTTAAAACCATGGTTCTAGAGTTGTATACACACAAGATTCCCAAGGAACTGATAGATTAAGTATCATTTGGACACTTCTCCATAAATAGTGTTTCTCAGCCTTGAGATTTGGATGTCACTTCTAATTATAATAAATAGCATTCCTAATAATGATATACTTAAAAATTGCTCTCTCACACTCATAATAAACAGCATTTTATTTTATAGTAACAATACATTAAAAAATTATTCCCTCACAAAAGCACTTACAGTAGAACCCAGAAACAAAAAGTGGAGGTTGGAAGGAATGGAAACTGAGCCAATAGACGGTCAATTATTGTTTGAGAAAACTGGCACACAGACGATCGAAAGCCTGTCTCCAGGCAAGCTCCCCTTGCTTGTTTGCCTCTTCACATAGGAGTTGAAGCTACACAAGTCAACTCATCTGTACTTTCTCTGTTGCAGGAAACAGAGCCCGATTTTGATAACTGCGCAGTTTGCATCGAAGGATACAAGCCCAATGACATTGTGCGGATCTTGCCCTGCCGGTGAGTCCCTGGGCCACCTGCTTTTGAATGGGGTGTGTGTGTGTGGAGATGAGAGGGCCTCCTGGCTGCACTGGCGCGGACCTGCTTGGCCTAGCCCTATGAGGTCAGGCTGCCCAAACCTTTCTGGGTTTAAACAGCAAACAGTGGAAAAAGTGTAACCTTTCTCCTTGAAAACATGTTTTCTTGCGAAATAAATATTTTTCTGATCTCCTTTGTACCAAAGGAAGCATAGTGCTATGAATTAGAACCTCATGATACGGAAATTGATGATGGGGCTCCCAATTATAAGTTTTCTTTAACAACAGAATTATGATATTCAGAATCCGTTCTAACTTTCACAAGTGCTGTTTTAATTTAATTAATGAACTCAGAAAGATATGTCGTGAATTGGGGCACCTGGGTGGCTCAGTGGGTTAAACGTCTGACTCTTGCTTTCCGCTTAGGTCATGATCTCCGGGTTGTGAGATCAAGCCCTGTGTTAGGCTCCACGCTGGGGGTGTGGAATCTACTTAAGGTTCTTTATCTCCCCCTCCCTCTTTACCCCCACCCTTCTCTGTCTCCCTCTTTCTCCTTCTCTAAAAAAAAAAAAGTGTATATATATTGTGAATAATCATGAAGAGATCAACAGTCAGAATATGGTCTGGAGTGAGTGGGAAGCCAAAGGCAAATTCCATTTCCTTTTGGGTTTTCTTTTTTTGGGGGGGGGTAGGAGTTTATCAGCAGGAAAGAAATGTGACAGTCACCCCAAAACTTCTAGAATCTAGGGGAGGATGCCAACGTATGTAGTTGGAAACATTCCCCAAGTGGGATTTTCATATCACCCTAATCCTTCTCCCTAATTGAAATTTACTGTTAAGGTATTTGAATTTTTATATATAGTTAAAATTAAATAAGTTTAAATATATCAATAAAATCAAATATTTTTAAGTTGCATAAAAACGGTCTTCCTATCATTGAAAACCTTTTTTTTTTTTTTTTAAAGATTCCATTCATTTATTTGACAAACAGAGATCACAAGCAGGCAGAGAGGCAGGCAGAGAGAGGAGGAAGCAGGCTCCCCCACCCAAGCAGAGAGCCCCATGCGGGGCTCGATCCCAGGACCCTGAGACCATGACCTGAGCCGAAGGCAGAGGCTTTAACCCACTGAGCCACCCAGGCGCCCTGAAAACCTTTTTTTAGTGTTGCTGCATCAAGTATCCTAAAAATAAAAAATTATTCCTTGAAGAAAGTTTCTTCACTTAGAAAGGTGAGCTTTTTAAAAAGTCTTAAGGGGCACCTGGGCGGCTCAGTTGGTTCAGCATCCAGCTCTTGGTTTCTGCTCAGGTCTAATTTCAGGGTCATGAGATCCAGGTCCTGAGTCAGGCTCTGAGCTCTGCCTCTCCCTCTGCCCCTCCCTCTCCCTAAAGTAAATAAATAAAATCTTAGAAAAAATTCTTAGAGTACTTAATCAAGTAGATAAAAATACACAAAGATATAAAGCAATGCACCTTTAGGAAATATTTCTCTAAAATAAGAAAGAAAATATGCTTGTAGAGGAATTAATTTAATAATCCCAAAATGACAAAGAAGTGTCAAAAAAGGACAGGATATGTAAATAGATGCAGAAACTCCCGAGGGGAATGAATCCTTCTTGAAATGCTTTTAGGCAAATTGATCATCAGGAAACAGGCCTGGGAAAGTACACTGCTGGCTCCAGCCAAAGCCTTCAATGCAGATGCATTTTCCTTAGTTTTTAGATGCCTGGCTAGCTCTAAGACAAAACCATAAAATCAACACATCAAGACTTGGTGGTTTTCTTCCTATGAGGGAATATAGAAATTCTTTCTTCAGACATTAAACCTGGTATTTAGTTAGTGACTTCTAGAAACCTGGCAAAGAATGGCGGGCAGCCTGTGAGCCACAGAGAGCCTCTCAGGGTAGCATCTTTTATCTCTGCGATATTTTACCAAGGTTGTTATTCAACCTCATAGTGATAAGCAAAGAATGTGCTTTCCTTTGCTTTGCTGCTCAGAGAGTGTTTACAGCCCCGGGAGGGTACTTCTCATAAAAAATATCCAAAGCAAATCTAAGTTAAATTGCAACTTTTTCCTTCTTTTTTTTTTTAGAGAATCTAAATGTAATTAAGAAAATCTATTTTTAAAACTATATAAAGCATTACTTTAGCTCCATAATCCCTACTGTATAAAATAACATTCATCTGGAGCTCTGCCATGAGTCTATCCCACGTTACCGCATAGAATTACTAAAAGCCGCGTAATATCCAAGCCATAGATGGGCCATAGTTCGATTTACCGTGCTCCTATTGTGCAACATTTGGCTGGTTTCGGTTCTTAATTAAGACAAATTACTCTGCTTTAGCAGTGTTTAGATTGTCTTGATGTATTATTCCAGATCTCTTACAATAGAATTTTTGGAAAGATTAACCAAAGAAATAGCTTTTTAATAATAAAAAAAAACTTTAGGAAGTTTAATTTTATTTATACTAGCCCTTGCCCTAGGCCAGTTCAGTGTGGCCTACGATTCTTCCCTTTTTACATTATTTTTGATTCTTGGCTCATTTCTTGACACTCTCTGTTCAAGATTCTTGCTGTCCATCTGCTTTTATTTCCTTATTATAGGCCCGGCTTTAAATAACACAATACATTGAGAATCAGCAAGCACAGGTTAGAGTTATTTATTGTTTGATCTTAGATGAACCATATATATTTACTCTTTGAAGAGCTCATCCATTTTTTTCCATGCTGACTTTAAAATCGAGGTATTTTGGTGCCTGTTGCTTGTTTCTGCCAGACAGTTCGCACTAATGGATGTCATCAAACAAATGCACTGGCATTTGCTTTTTGCTACATAATTTCCTCTGGGGTATTATTAAGCCCCAGATCCTATGAACTTTATAGACTCTCTCATTATTTCCAAGCTGACTCAGCCCCAGAATTTTTTGCATCTCCTTAGAGTATAAACCATTTCAAAAAATAATAATAATAATAATTCAGTTTTTGTCTTCCTTCTTTTATATTCTTTTCTGTGGTCTCCTAACCCCTCACCCGCTGGGTGTATCACTTCTATAGTGTGGCCACTTGGGGTGCCTTTCCAGATCTCCCTGGGATATTCTTGTGCCGTGATTTTTTTCAGAATCATTCTCTTGTTTGCCTCTTTTAGAAACCATTGCACAAATTAGGATGAATTAATAAATGATTTCCCCTCTTCATTTGTTGTCATGGCGATTACTAAAGTTAAATCATGCGCATACACACTCATCGCCTCCCCCTTGCTGTCTTCCCTAGGGGCCTTCTCCTGAGCAGGCCCCCACACCCCAGCCCACCCCTCCCCGCCCCCGCCCCCACAGGGGCCAGCTGGGCATGCGCGTGCAGCAGCTCCCAAAGCAGCTAAGGGTCAGACAGCTCTAACTTGTGTGGCTTGGATTTGATCCTAATACACCACTGGGGTATTTTCCAAAGAATTTTGGTTTTTGCTTAGAACATATACATGCCGAAACCTACATTATAGTGTATTTTAGGGCTGGTTTTTGTGAATTAGGTTTATACTTGTGATTATCATTTTTAGCTACAGAAGATATTTTATTGAAGCATATAATTGAAATTGTATCGTCTTCCCTTGTCCAGAGAATAAGTTGGGCTCTCAGATTCTTCCAGAGCTTTTATCCTCTGGTGTTTCTACTGTTCTTCAGTGGTTACTCATTTCAGTCTATTTACCTATACAGTTTCAAACACTCTGCTCAGAAAGAACACGACCTCTTCAGGCAGGGCAAAAGTCTTTGTATGCTACTTAAAAAAAAAAAAAAAAATGCAATGTATGCATCCATACCCTAGGTACCTTTAAAATTCTTTCCTTTCTTGGATTGATCCCTATAGCATTATTACTAATTTAGGAGGATATTGGCTTCTATCACTTTTTCCTTTGACTTTGGAAACTCTTCTATAATGTAGGAAAAATTTTAAAGCTCCTTGGTAACAGCAAGGTAACTAAATTTTTTAGTAACCAAATACTTCATTTGCAACAATAAACATTTATTTTGTAGCAACTGTGTGCCAGGAATAGTAAGAAGTACCAGAGTTGAAAAGATAAATGGCCTGATCCCTGCTCTGAAGGAAATCAGTCTAGTGTGGGGGAGAGAAGGGAATTTAAATAAGTAAATCACCGTACAGCATGAGGTGTGCAACAACAATAGCAAAACGGGTTTTTAAAAATTGGAGGAAGCAATACCAGGCACAAGAAAGGCTCGGCAGAAGAAAGGACATCTTCATAATTTCTAACAATGGTTTGCCTTGCCAATTGCCATTTTCATTATAGAAAATCTGTATAATGGATAAATATGTAATTAGCTATCTAACTCCCCCAGGCAGATAACTACTGTTACTATTTTTATGTATTTCCTTGCTTTTATGTGCTATACCTATTCTGGTAAGTTTGAGATACTACTGTCAACATCATTTATTATCCTGTTCTTTTCACTTAATATTCTAGGAATATGTTCAAAATGGTTCTAGATTATTAGTGGCACATCTTGACTTTCCTTTGGCCTCTGACTCCGTAGGCAGATGTTGATCAAGGTCTAAGTTAAATAAACCAACCCAAGCCCCTGGGACTTTGGTGCTTATGTAGAACCTGCTAGTCAGGAGTCAGGACGTTTTTTCAGGACGGACAGAATTTTCTACTGAGGTTAAATGGGAATGTGCCCTGGCTCCCTTTAGCTTATTTCTTAATAATCCATTGATGCACTGTTCACATTTCAGCATCCCACCCTACTAGAGAGGACAAACAAAAGCAGTGTTCCATATACAGCCAATGTCAGTATCATTTGGGTGTGTGGAAGTGGCCCATGGAGGCGGCGAGCCCCTCTGGCTTCCTGTTGTTACAGTTGGATTGCAAATAAAATAATCCAAAACTCAAGTCTTTATCTTCCATAGATGTGCCCCCACTTTTACCTTGCTCCTAAACAGAGTTCCCATAGGACAAATTCCCTCCTGGAGTTGTATTTT